ATAATATAGGTCCCCACAATAAATGGAATTAGAATCATCAAAGTGAGAAATCATATTCAGTTGGCCTTACAGCTCAGGAAGACTGCAGCTTATCGATCCACATCAATGATCTAGCCCTATCAACGGCTTCGGACGGAGTCAATCATTTCCAACAACACAACGACAAGGCCAAGGTCGTTTCTTAATTTAGTTCAACCTCACCTGATTCATACGAAGCCAGGGCCGGTCATGTTGGCTGAAGTGAGGCAAGTGATACTTCCTGGCCTGCTAATTGGGCTGAGACTGACAGGTTCATCATCGTCAAATCGGCGAGAGCCTTGTCCAAGTAGTTTTTACCGGAAAGACCATAGAACTGAAAGTAGACGGGAGAAATATATATAGACCATGATTTCTGCGCCCATGGACAGATTTGATCATCAGCATCGCATCAACCATCATTCCCTCTCGATCTATCTGCCTTATATTTCTTCTGTGCGGTCTGGTACCACAGCACAATTTCCTTATAACTTGCAGCTACTCTTTCTCTCTCAATTCGTATTTCATTTGCTATCATACATATTTCAGTTTGGTCTGGATACCAACGAAACAGTCAGACGTTCATTGCTCCCACTTGCGGTCCCACGGTCAAGTACCTACAGCCTCATCTTCCTGAGATCTAAGTTAGCCCTGTGGGTTCGACTCAAAAGCACATCACCTTTACACATCACTCGCACCAAGCAAAATCATCATGAAGTTCGCAACAGTCTTCCTTGGCCCAATCCTGGCCTGGACTGCGGCGGCTGCCATTGTCCAACTAGGTGGGCGAGACACTGCTACGAACCTCATCAGCAGCAGAGGCACAACGCGATCTGCCATGGTCGCCGAGCTGATCAAGGCAAACAAGCAAGGCGTGCCTAAGTTCACGCTGCCGGCGGCCCCTACCAAGGGAAAGAAGGTCTTGAAGCGCAGCCTGTCCCTGGAAACCGTCGTGGACGAGCCTGGTCTGTATAAGCGCGCACACAACGAGCCGGAGTTGAACGAGGTGGTCACCGGCACGGCCGCCGACACAGTAGGTATCACAGGACTGGGTCCGTGTATCGGTATCATCACAACTTTCTCCAAGGTCAGCGCGGGAAAGGTAAATAAGGTCGCTGCGCACCTCGGTGCAGCTGGCGGGCCGGCTGCTCTGACTACAATGGTACGAGCTATCTACAGTGCCGCGGCCGAGGGAGGCGTGTGGGAACAAGACCTGGATGCGGGCCATCGGCCACAGATCCATGTTTCATATCCCGACGCTGAGGCTGAGGTAGCTGCCATGGTCAAGGAGGGCGAGATCACGCAGGCGCAGTCTGCCAGCATGAAGGCGACACTGCAAAGTGTGATCTCGCAGGTCACCACGGATCTCGAATCACTTTGTACCTCGCTAGACGGGCACTGCTACTCCCAGACGCGTGTGGGTGCTAAGACGGTTGGTAGTAGCATGCAGGCGACAGCCGCCGGAGCTGTTACTATCGATGGAGTCTCAATGTAGACTTGTTTGTTCAGCAGCAGGATGGGGGAGGGGTTTGGCCGAGCGCGACAGACAAGTTCACAATTCCTCACTCGGGTATGGGAATTGTCCGGTATAGCTCAGTGTACCTACACAGTTTGGGGTATTGTATAGTGAAAAGGGTGGAGGAGCTTTGGGTGCAGAATCTTCGAAATCACAGGCGTAACTTGTGTACCTATCTGATCATCGGGAGTTGACCTGCATCTTGGTCGTTCTTCAAAAGAGTCCATACGCTCCAAAAATCCAATCCTCTTTCATGACTGAAGAACATGAGACTCTATATGAGAATTTATATCTCGAGACATCTCACAATTACAAGTGGTGAATGAATGCACCCTGCCTGCTAAAGATTTACTAAACGTTAGATTTACCACTTATATCAATGATGATGAGTATTTTACATATATAAATAAGGTCGAGTTCTTAATTCTGTTCTTATGGTTACATAATTAAATTGGAAATGCAGAATTCGTGTTCTCTTGAGATATGAGACCGCGTTTTTTATGGGCAACTATAGAATGCTCTGACGAAATTTTGGCTCACCTTGCGATAAGCTTGTCCTTGATTTCCATCCCATCATTTGCGATATCCTCGGTATGCATCCGATCGGATGGACGCAGGGAAGAACTATTTCAAGACGGGGTTTAAGCCACAGGGGGGACAACGGGACGACATGAGACCTGAACAGTTTGAGGCTCGACGATTAGCGCCGAGATCGTGTCAGTCATCAGGGAATAGCCGAGCACAGGACACGATAACACGGAAATACCACAGACAATTCACTACTTTCCTCAGTACCTACCTAATAAAGTAGACCAACGATATCTAAATTTTACACATGAGATCATCATTCCACGTAAAAATAGGCGCTCGTCGCTCATGAAAGGGTCTCCGGCTTTGCGGCCATCCGCTCAAGATGTCCACCTAACTTTGTGGGCTGCGAATTGGAAGCATTTCCTTGCAGCTTGGATCCGGGCTCGCGCCTCAAACTCGCTTACGCACTCCTGTTCCTGACAACACACACGTTTTCGGTAAATTCGTCCGGATGCACTCAGGGATCATGACAATCACCACGGGAGATCGGCTCACATCACTTGGCAGATTCATCCCTCTTCGAGGCTCTTTGTGCACTGCCATGGGCTAGGGACCCCCTGAACAGCCAAGTTGAGCCTCAATGCTTGTTCAAACGACACCATGATTTCTATCCCTATCATGCAATCCGAGCGCCCGAACATCCTGGCAGGTGTGGCTGCCCTGCGTACGCATCCTGTGGAGCCCTGGAGGATCTCCCAAACGTCTGAAGATCATGAACAAAAACCATCGACTGGACCATATGTTTGTCGCTTGGCACTAAACTGGCCAAATGATCACCACCACATCCGTTTCCCAAGACTCTCGTTCGTCCGCTCACAGAAACATCGTCGTTCCTGAGACAACTTGCGAAGGCGAAGCCTCCTTTCTTTAGCCGCTCATCAGCCCCCATCTCGTCTCAACATTGTTTGCAATGAAAGGTTTGTCGTCTGAATAGTTGTGCTGATCTGGTTAGGATGGAAAAAGTTGAGACAGGGTGAACTCATGCAACGTCGTGACCCTACGTCCTTCGGTGATTGTGATGCTGGCCGACAACTAGTATATAATGTGGCCAGGAGCCCTCTTCAAGCACACTCAAATTATCATCAGCATCATCACCAGCAGCATCTTCTTTCATCCAACATTCACTTTCCAGTCGCGATTGATTCGTGCCATTCCTTTCAGCACTATTACCAACTAGAACTTTCAGTTTAACTGTCTTTATCTTAAAAAAACAACCTTTTTGTCTTTTCGACTCCAACCGTATTCTCAACTTCCAAAATGTACTCCCAGATCAAGACCCTCATCTTTGCCCTCGCGGCCTCCCCTCTCGTTGCCGCTCACGGCAAGATTGCGGCTGTCACCGGAGACGCGGGTGGCAACGGAACTGCCCTGGGCATTCAAGGCGGCGTGGTCCCCGGCCCCGGCCCCAACTACAAGACCGAAGTCGACACGACCGTCTTCTGGTCCAAGGACATTGCCACTGATAACGATATTGGCTTCACCGAGAGCGGCTCCGGCAACAACCAGCTCACCGACCTCACCAAGAGCATGGCTCTCAGCGGCTCTACCTTGCCTCAGGTCACCAGCGGCGGCTCCGTCAGCGGCACCTACCACGTCGTGACCGACGACGGCTGCGGTCCCGTCGAGGCGCTCATTGACGAGTCTGCGAGCGCCAAGTGGAGCACGGCCACCAAGGCGACTGTGTCGACCGACATGCCCGGCACGGCTGGCGAGTGCCCTACGAGCCTCGACAGCGGCAACGACAACAAGATCAAGCGCATGGCGACGCGCGCGCTGGTCAAGATGGGCCTCATCTCCAAGCGGGCCAACAATGTCAACAAGGACTACAGCTTCTCTATTGCCATTCCCGCTGGTACCTCGTGCACTGGTACCATTGGCGACCAGACCAACCTGTGCCTCGTCAAGATGTCCAACAACAACGCAAACGGCCCCTTTGGTGGTGTCTACGCCGTTCAGATGGGAGGCAATACCACTACTCGTCGTGTCATGCGCTCTTTCCAGGTTTAATTGCAAAATTGCTTGATACACCTCATTAAAGCGTCTTGTTTTATAATCATCGATGTGTGGATCATGTCAAGTGGAAGCTGGAAGCTTTCTTAAAATACCTATTTGGATTTTGCTGTGGTGGTTGATGGAATGTGGAACTTTTGGCGAGTAGTACTGGTCAGGCTGTTTAGAATGAGGAAATGAAATGACGATATTCCCACAAAGCAGTGCACACTTTGACTATCTGATGACAACTGTTTGAATTCAATGGCCTCTTGTTAGACTGCGTCGCACGCCACAGATGGTGAGAGACATTTTCGTTCTGCCACTACTATCACACAAGCCTTGCACAGATGGTCCTTGCAAGCCACAAGTTGTAGCATTCCCAAATGCTGTGTAAATTCTCTTATATCATGTAAAATATAGTCTATATTGTTGAAATAGTACAATCATGATCTAGAGGCTCTCACCTTAACACTCATTGACAGTGACTATTGATTCTCCTCTTGATTCCTGTCAGCAGGTTCTTATTACCATGTTGAAGAAAGATCACCATTGCCTCTTGTTGTAATGGTTAATATATCCGTATTACTGTTACTATCCCATACTTGGTAGGGCAGAAGCACAGAATGATTTTCATTTCTGTTTTGTGCGCGGATCTGCCTGTGTCTCGCGTGTCTCGCAGTAAAAATGCAAATACTACGGATGTAGTATTTGACCCAGAAAACCGGGATTAGGAAATTACCTATTGGGACCCACAATAAACGTGGTGAGGAATTGAGAGGCAGTGTGACGTAAAAGTTGGTCTAAGCGCCCCACTACCCTAATCATAGGGTTTATAAACTCCACATTCTGGCCTGTTTCCAACAATTGGTCCAAGCTGGTTCACAGCGTCCTGGTGGTCTAGGGGTATGATTCATCCTTAGGGTTAATAACAGAATACTGTTATCCTGTCTGGATGAGGTCCCGCGTTCAAATCGCGGCCAGGACCTTCTTTTTGCCCTTTTCTCATAGGTTGGTTGTGTGTTTCTAGTTATTGAACAGTGTCTTGACATGTTGGTGAATTGTGTGGATGTGAGGTGTGGAAAGTTACGTCTACAGTTCACCTGCACTGCGGGGGGTTAGGGTCTTGCACCAGGCCAGTACCTAGGTGTACCTACCTATCTGTCACCTAGACTTAGACCACACACACAAATCAGACAACACCTTCAATCAAGCCCGCTGTACAGCATAGAGACCTTCCAACCGAAGAATTCATTCAGAAGAGTTCATTCTTCTGAGCTTGTCTATTTTTGGATTTACCAAGACTTTCATGGAGTCTTGATCATCTTCTCCTATGGAAAAGCTACATCGGACGCATGTACCCATTGTAACGCACGATGCTCTTGAAATAGGTAGATTTCTCACCGGCGCCATTCACAACTTGAGAAACAAAGATGTTATAGTAAAAACTTGGAGCTGGCTGGATACGGCCCACCACCTTGCTTAAAGTACCTAGGTATTCATCGGTCTACTGGCTGTCCCCAGATATTTCTATCCTCCAGCCACTTCCATACCATCGCATTACCCTCATGCGCATTCCTCACCACCAGGCCATCCTTCGGATCCATACTGGGGCCAGGGTCATTCAAATAATCAACAGACCGCGTCTGGTTCTTCCCAACCTCCAATATCGTCCCGCCCACCAGTCCCTCTTCCTCGACACACCGCAGCATCGCCACCGCTACTTCATCAGGTGTCACCCATCCATCCTGCTCTGGATCGAGATACGCCATCTTCTCTGGGTGCTCCACCCACAACGGCGTGCGCACCACGCCCGGCGCGACGGCCGCTACGCGAATCCCATGCTGCTCGTCCAGGGGTGCTAAGCTCCGCACCAAGCCATGGATACCAAACTTGGACGCGCCATAGAGTGGTGCGTTGAAATTAGGCATCTGGCCCGCAACAGAGCCAATATGCACAATACGCTTGGGGTTGGAGAGCGAGACATTTCTCAAGTTGCTGCTTGACGGTGGGTGTAGCCATTGGGACATTGCGAGCTGCGTTGCTCGGATAGGGTGCGTGAGGTTGATATCGAGGAGGGCATAGTGACCTGGGTGCCCATTGATCTCGTCCTTGCTCTCGACTGAGCCTGGAGGATGCCAAAAGCTAACAAGACATGTCAGTACACCAATTCGATATCCTCAGCGTGGGCTTGTGCAAAGCATCGTAGATCAAGTGCTCTCCAAATTGGCACTCACTTCGACCAATGTGGTTCATATACGCCCGCTCCAGGGCAGAGGACGTCCACATCGCCAAACTCCTTCAAAGCGACATCGAACATATTCGATAAATCGGGCCAGGATGTCACATCTGTCTTGACGAAAACAGCTCGCGGACTCTTCCCCACATCGCTGTGCTTTGCGATGAGCTCCTCTGCTTCTGGACGGAGACCGAGGTCTGCTATCACCACATTGCAGTTTCGGGACAAGAGGAGAGCCGCAAAGGAGAGATTTATTCCTTGTTACAGCATATATCAGTCGATATGAAGACGGGAAATGTTATCACAGCAGGTTGTTCAGGCGTACATACCGGAACCCGCGCCAGTCACGATGGCGGTCTTCCCACTCACGCTGAAGGGGACAGACTCCGGAGCACGCGAGGGGGCGGCGGTCGCCATGATGATGGAGTTATTTCACAATGTAGTTGATTCTGAGTCAGTTTGCAGCTGACCTATTCCAGTCGAATCTCCCGGTATACGGGCAGGATGTTATGAGTTGCTCGTTGCGCTGCCTCTGGTCCCGAGATGTAAGTTCTGAGAGGAGAAAGGTGAGTTGTCTAGGAAAAACGATTCAAGTTCCTGATGTGAGATGTCGATCTGGGAGTGACGGTGTCAGTCAGTGTCCACGAGCTTTCTTTGTCAGTTGGTGGGCGGGCGACTCTCACCCGAACACCGGGCCGCCTGTCATCTCCTCACCTCACAGCGGGGAAGCAAATAACGAACGAATGCGTTTCCACGATATCTGCCGTGCGATCAATCGATATCAAGCGACAACTTGATAGACTTTGTAGCGCCTTACTCAGTGGATACAATCTCAACTCTGGTAGTCATTTTCCTCAATACTAGAATAATATTCGTTCCAAAAGAATACAAGCTCATAGGCCATTGATCATCATTATTATTCGTGCCCTTTTTGTCAACGTCGGCGTCCCACTTATTGCCAGTGAGTCCACAGCAAGATGACCCGAATATGCACTGTCGTCTCTAGGTGTAATCAGCCAACCTGACTTTGAATCGTCAATGACAAGGCGGGTCAAAAGCGACTTGAAATCGCAGTACCCGATAGGTACCTATGTGAATTACTCTCCGTCACGTCGACCATCATACGGCTTAGGCGCTTGGCGGCCTGCTCGACTCCAAAGCCCTTCGCCGAACAGCCACCATGTCTTATACGCTCGCTTGTAGAATATTGTTGATTGAATTCTGAATGATGCACCTCGGCACGGCCTGATATGGATTGAAAGTAAAGTTGTGTCCAACAATATACAGCATTGTTGCGTGGTGCTCGCGACTCTGTCGGGTGACTTGACACCAGGATATTGAGGAATGAATTCTCTTTCAACTTTTCAACCTCGTGTAGACTGATATACAGAAGAATGAACTGGATCATACTCGATTCTCTCAATGTAACGTCCCCTCCTCCAAGGAAATTGGATGGAAAGGGTCCTCTCGGGCTAGTGTCATCACGAGGCCGACAAATTGGAGTCTGAGCTGTATGTTCACGCATATATACCAGGGATGACTTGCATGGGAATCGCAACTAAGTCAGGATACTTACCGACTAATAATAGATGACCTCAATTTCCGGGTGTCACTGCGTCTGCAGACTGTAACCCGTTTTCGCTGTCTGGTGCAGTGGATTGCGGGGAAGACGCAGATCCACGCCAAACAAGCAGCATGGTCGATGGTCATCAGTCGATAGACTTTAAAATATACGAAAAAGTGCATTAATAATAAATACTCGGAGGTCATCAGAGTCGCTCCCCTTTCAAGACTTCCTCGACCTCATGTGTGTTATGGCAGGTTGTCATCGATAATTTCAAACTCGATACCGTCCAAAGAACTTTGGTTCTAGAGCGACAACTCCTGACTTGCGCCCACACAAAATAGTCATGTTTCGGGTTCAGATGCCTACTATGATCTGTGTCCCCTTCATTCTTGCCTTGGCTGGTAAAGTCGTAGCCCAAACCGACTACTCACAATATGTGGTAAGTACCTACAGAGCCTTGCAGCACACACGAACGACCAGCTCTAGGCGGCTAATGGAATTTGCAGAATCCTTTCATAGGAGGCTCCGGGCCATTTCCTGGCGAAGCTTGTATGTGAAATTTATACCAGAATTCAGCCTGTATAGTCTGACAGTCTACCTAGATGGTGGCGGAGATATATTCGTGGGTGGTGCGCTCCCCTTCGGGGTGACCAAAGTAGGGCCAGATACATGGGAGCCTTTTGGTGCAGATTCGGTCATCAATGGAGGCTGGACACCTCAAGGTAATGTAACGGGATTTTCCATGCTCCATGAGAGCGGAACAGGAGGCGCGCCCAAATACGGTGTCATCGCTCAGATGCCATTGACGAGTGTCGCTCCTCCTGTCAACTTGCTTGACAATACCACCTACTGGCAACGGCGTGTTGGCGACGATGTTGCTACAGTCGGGTACTACAAGACGGAGTTGATCAATGGCGTTACAGTCGAGATTTCGGCTGCCAGACATTCCGGCATATTGCAGTACACATTTCCATCCGGCAGCGAAAAGCACATTCTCATGGATCTGTCACATTATCTCCCATCTGAAAATGGTGGCTACACTAGCCAATCGTACCTTGGTGGGAGAATTGAGGCATCCAGCGACAATTCGAGTCTCGTCAAAGGATATGCAACTTATGGCGCCGGCTGGAACGAAGGTGCACCTTTTCAAGTCTTTTTCTGCACACATTTCGACTCGGATCCCAGCACTTTCCAGACTTTCACGGGCAGGAATACTGATCCAGCGGTGCGACTACACACTTACGATGGAGAGGGCCCACCACAAGCCACTTTTCAAGATTTGACAGCCAGCAACGTGGTCACGGATTCAGATCCAGCCCACGGTGTGTTTCCAGGGAGTCGAATCGGGGCAGTGCTGTCATGGGACGATAGCTCCACCAACGTAATCACATCTCGGGTCGGAATTTCTTTCCTTAATATCACTGATGCTTGTCAATTGGTCTCAGACGAGATCAGTGACAGCCAAAGTTTCAACGAGACTGTCAACGCTGCGGTGGAGGAGTGGAACCAAGATGTCTTCAGTAAAATCCAGGTCGTCACGGATGACACGGCTAATACGACAAATCTCCGATTGTTGTACTCGTCGTTATATTTCATGCACCTCATGCCTTCAGATAGAACGGCGCAAAACCCGTTATGGTACTCTAATGAACCATACTGGGATGATTTCTGTGAGTACTTGAGTAGCCGCAAATACTTCTTTTGAGCACACCCCTCGTTACAATCGCAGTTCCAGCTTACATCAACATTACGCCGGTTTTATCATTAGTCCAAAATATATGTATTGACTCTAGAATACCAACAGACACTCTATGGGACATATTTCGTTGCACCGTCAGTCTCTACCACTTGATCCAGCCGGCCAGATACGTTGGCATGATTCGGTCTTTGATCGACATCTGGCGATGGGAAGGCTACATGCCAGATGGTCGAAGCGGAAACTACAATGGACTCGTACAAGGCGGTAGCAACGCAGACAATGTGCTTGCAGATGCCTATGTCAAAGGCCTGGGCAGGAACAATGACACCTGGACAGGCATGATCAACTGGACCGCGGGTTATCAAGCCATGTTGAAAGACGCCGAGGTGCAACCGAGCAATAACTTCAGTCCGTTAGATCAGACTGGCAGCGTGAAAGAAGGGCGCGGGTCCTTGTACGACTGGATACCTTTGGGGTACGTGT